TTCGCACGTGCACATGTATAATGCTTGAGGTCCGGATTGTATGGTTTTCTCACTGCATGTCACAGCGCATTGATATGGCGTTTTCGGCAACTTATATAGCCGGATAAATATCTGGCGAATGGGGAATTAGAGTAAAGTACTTTGTACATAAGCGGAACTGTTGCGTTGAATATGCTAGTAGCTGGATAGAGTATGATTCTCCACAATATTCGTTCATTGTCGTATACGTATTGCTAGCGATTTTGGCTTGTTCGCTGCATGTGTCATATATATATGTATATACGTACGTATGTTTAAGTGCACGCTCATCATTCTTGCTCTTTTATATTTCTTTTTTACGTTGATACAGGGCGCAATCGATTCACTCAAAGACTTCCCAGAGGCTACGGCTGTAGAAATTATGGAGAAGTACTCCTTAGCAGACTTTGAATCTGTCAGGAACAAAACCGGCTTTTTAATTGGCATCATCAAAAGATACCGCAATAACCTACACACTGCACGTATGTACAAGCGGCAATTGGGCTATGAATACCACCAATATATATTGTAAATATTTTTATATTTACTCGGTGATTAATCATCTATTTGCATACATATTACATATATATATATATATATCAGTTTGACATTTTTATTGTGAATATCCTTGCCCCGATAAACATAGCGGCATATGATTTCATGTTTCACGTTGTCTCTCGGTGAGTGTGTTCTCCTATATAATTATACTTGAAAATAGTTCAGTAAGATCTTTTAAAACAACGCAGCGGTGTGTACATATGTTTGTAAAAATTGATCGCCACAATAGCAATCTTAGCCATTGGAGTTATATACCAATACATGCAATGGTATTCATGCTCGATATTCACTCTACTGCTACAGCTCCACAATTCGGTGGTTACGGAGGAGGCCCTGCTGGTCCTGGCTATGGAGCACCAACCATGCGCAACACACTGGCGCCCAGTACACAGTCCATGCTCAACCAACTATACTCGTCGAGGATTACAAGTGAAGTAGAGTTGGGTGACAAGTGCCTTATGCAATTAAAGAGCTACAGTGAGGATACCGCCAATCAAATTCTACAAAAGTAAGCCCATCTTTCTTCCATTCAATTATATAGTTCCCGAGTATCGCTACTGTTAATGTCCAGTTGTGTATCTCGTAAACGACATGTATATGCTTTCATATATTTATATTTCTACAGTTGAACACGCATTTACATGTATATATATATGTGTGTGTGCATCAATTTTGTATAGCCCTATTTATGGAGATTTATTGGTCGGTTTTGCACGTAACTGACACCCCGCACGTGTTCTGTCCACCCGCAATGTATAAATTCTCAGGTTTAAGGAAGCCGACATGAAAGATATCCGCAGTAAATCGGGTTTCTTACATGGAATCATGCGAAGATTCCCCATGGAAGGAGGATTCCAGGGAGGACCAGCAGTTGCCAATCCTCTACAGACACAGACTGCCTTCCAACTACTGCCCTGGAGTGTGCAGATGCGAATCAGTCCCCTATATCAAACCGGCGTGCTTTTACAAAATGTATGTTGTTTTGTGCATCCAGCCTACACTTACTCGTTTGCTTTCTCTTAGTCGCATAACAGTACTGTGGCTATAATTCTAGCCACTATATCTACATCGCGCCTACTTCATGCTCATGCACCCTCTTGCTTGCTGCTACCCAAATGCACACTCCCCTCAGGACATCGAAGCGCGCGTGTACGAATCTCTTGCACAGTTCCCAGAACCAGTTGCTCTCGGTATGTTTGCGGTGCGCCTTTGTTAATATTGAACATAAAATTTATTACCACTCCCCTCCACCCTGTCTCCGTAAAATTGTGTTGTGTTGCCGGCCTCGGTCGATTTCTATAGCTCTCTCTCTCGGGGTATGTACTTCTCCATACACTGTATGCCAACCCATGTCCACTTTATCCACACATCTGCCTTCCCTTATAGATATCGCTTCCAAGTTTTGTGAGAGCGATCTGCCCCGGGTAAACAACAAGTCTGGATGGTTAATTGGTATTATGAAGCGTTTCCGTCAGACTGCACCCCAGGGCGATGGTTACCATAACGGTGGCTATGGAGGCCATGGAGGGTCAGGGGGTGGCTACGGAAATAGCAACCAGTATGCACAAGGCCCGCCTCAACAGGTATGTGTATTTTTCATAAGTTTTCGTTTATGTATTGCAGCACTTGATGATTCAGGTAGACTGCGATGTCAGGGCAACACACTGTACTCGAGACATTGCTAATATTCGCTTACTTTCGACTAGACAGAGTGTTTACCAGAGCTATGGCCAAGGAGGTAGCAATGACTATCAACAAGGTGGCTACGGCGGCAATAGTAACTACCAAGGTGGACAGGGATATAGCCAAGGAAACAATTATTATTAAGACGTAAACTTCCCACTATACCTGAACAAAATAGCATTTATAGCGGACACATAAAATAAATGCGATCCATCAAGATATAGGCTTTAACTTGCTGGGGGGTTTATAATAAGAGTATTTCGATACATACGTAAACTTGTTGATGTCTAATCTCTGTTGTTATTTGATGTATCAGCACATCGTATTACAGCATTTCCTGGCTTACAATGTAGCTCAGTGAACGTATAATGACGCGTAATGAGTTGCATCCATGAGTCCATGGCACCTATAACTTATGTTACTTCGTCACACTGGATATTGCATAACGTCGACAAGGTAACTTGGTGCCTTAAGATGCGGTGTTAAATCACTTCCGTGTGGTTTCCTCGTGAAAAGGAATTGTTACTGCCTTATTTTCCAAGACTAGCAACAGCAATTCGCTGACCATGTATTCTGATATGTGCCAGCATGAGTTTGGTGGGACCCTGCGTTTCCTCACCGCCTCCACCATATGTAATCATGGCAATGTAGCGAGAGCTATAAAGTGTCAAGAGCTTCTCGAGCGACCTTTGTGATGATTCGGAAGCGTGCACTGCCCAGATGCGAGCCACCGTACCATCTCGTGACGCTGACAAGGGTTTGTGTGTCATTCCGAGATTCCAACAGATTTAATAGAAGCTGTGGGTAAATTTATACTTGCGTGTCAATATACTATGTGCGTCGAGTATCAGATATGTCTGAACTACGTTCTGAGCACGACAGATACTACGATACAACACCACCCTGCCGCATACTACATATATATATATATGTATGTATATAATATATATATGTGTGTAAATATATATATTTTATATATACATATATATTATAATGTATATATATTACATATATATATATATATATATATATATATACTCATGTATATATATA